ATTCTATTAGATATTGATACAATTAATATTTTTAGGATGCTTCAAACAATGTTCAACCCATTTTAAACGAAGAATCATTAGTTACTAATGATTTTGGAGTCTCAAATCAAGATATAGTAAAATGTTTTCGCAAGTGTGTTGTAGACTTCAATGTGTCTCACAGATGTGCCAATGAAATTTTATCCATTTTATGTAGTACAGGTTTAAAAGTTCCAAAAGATGTAAGAACTATTCTAGCCGAACATAAAGCTAATCATTAAATTGTTGAAATTGAAAATGGTTCATATCTAGATTCCTAAATAATTAAACCACACTTAATTAAATAAATAAAATATATTCCTGATGGTAGTATAACAATTGAGTTGAGCTTCAATATTGATGGTTTACCACTTGCAAAAAGTTCAAAAACTCAATTTTGGCCAATTCTATTATCATTTGTTAATTTACCTCATTTGAAAACAAAATTTTTCCAGTAGGTATTTACCATAGTTTAAAGGCAAACCGGGTAATGTTAATGAATTTTTTAGACCATTTTTAAACGAGATTCAAAACCTTATAACTCACGGAATTCAAATTGAAAATAAAATAATACATTTTGAAATTATTCACGTTGTAGCAGACGCCCCAGCAAAATCATTTTTATTAAAAGTTAAAAACCATAATGGCTATTTTGCTTGTAACTCCTGCGAAGTAGAAGGTGATATTATTGAACATAAAGTTAGTTTTTTAAATTTGAAGGCCCCATTACGTACTAATGAATCATTTCGATCAAAGTCCAATACTGAATACCATAAGGATGGATTAAGTCCTCTGATAGAGCTTCCTTTAGACATTACAACCACTGTAGTCCTTGATTATATGCATTGTGTCTGCCAAGGAGTCATGAAACGGCTTCTAGAGTTTTGGGTAAGAGGTAAAAAACCAATCAGAATTATAGAAGAGAAAAAAGATATAATTTCTCTATCTCTTTTGAATATAAGAACATTTGTACCATCTGAGTTTGCATGAATACCAAGATAATTAGATGATCTTGAGTATTGGAAGGCTACCGAATTTCGTGAATTTCTTTTATACACTGGAGTTATTGTATTAAAATCAAATTTAAAAAAAGATATGTATGAACACTTTTTACTTTTATTAGTATCTATTCGAATACTATGCTCAAATGACTTATGGCAACAACATAATAATTTATCTTTAAAACTTTTAAAAACATTTGTTCAAAACTATTCATCCATTTATGGCCCTCAGTTTATTAATTACAACGTCCACAGTTTGATACACCTTCCATTTTTCGCTAATTGACATGGATCTTTAGATAATTTTTGTGCTTTTAAGTGTGAAAATTACCTTCAATTCCTAAAAAAAATCTATAAAAGGTTGTAAATACCCGCTTTCTGAAATAAAAAATAAAATTATTGCATCTGAAGGAGAAGAGCTATTAAATATTTCTACTGGTAATAATAATAATATATTAAAGTCATTTAAAATAAATGAAAAAATTTCAAATTTTAATTTTATTCATTATAATCAAATAAATCTCAAATCTAATAATTTTGTTTTGAGCTGTAACAATCCTAAAGATCAATGCATAATTTTAAAAAATAATGATATTGTTTTTATTAAAAGTATATATAAAATTAATTCAAAAATTGATTATGTTATTAAACTTTCCGTCATTAAAATACTAACAGTTGAAGATTTATTTTCAAAACCCTAAATAGTAATCAAATCCTTTTAAGTGATGTAAAATTCAAATGTTTTTTTTCTCAGCTCCTTCATAATCAAGCTGTTGTTATTTCAGTATGTCATAGTGTCTGATATAAATGTTAATTTTGTAGTTCTATTACATTTTAAATGTCTTAAGAATATTTATACTAAATGTATTGTATATTTTAAATTAGTAGGTTAAAATAGAATAGAAATATTTGTATACAATAATTCTATGTTATATTGTATTTATAGGTGTTAATTTTTGTATGTATTACAATTTTGTTTTAATTATACTTAATATTTAATTGTAATAATGTATTATGTATTTTTGACTTATGCAAATAAACATGTAATATTAATGAAAATTATATACCAATAAATTATGTTTCACCTTTATTTTTTAGAATATTATATTATATTTTTTTTGGTGGACTATGATAATCATATATTATTGTTGAGCCACTAATGTATCGATATTCAATAATTATAGTAAAAGATGATTAAATCAGTTTCAGCACTATCACTCAGCGTGGCGAGTGTATAGAAACTATTTTTTTGAGGGGTTATAACTAATGACTCCATTTTTTAAAAATAATTTTTAAGTTTACTGAAATTTTTATTTTGTGGGGGGTGCACTGGGATACCAACATTAATGTAATGTAGAATATGGTTATGTTAGGAATGTTTTTTATTAACTCTATTTAAATGTTTCAGAAACATATTTATAGAACATACCTATTTTACAGTTTAGAATTGTATACAATTTAGTCACAAGAAACACGGCATAAAGCGTTTCTGCGATGTTATAGTAACTGCTATGGAAGTTCCACAGGAACGTTTCAAAGTTCCTAATGAATGTTTTTTTTATATAACAGTAATATTCCTTTGCACTTGATGTTCTGAGGAGTCTATAGCTGGTCGAGTATTGGTCGTGTTTTGCGGGATATGATGTCAGAGAAAAAATGTAATAGTTTTATAAAAAAACTAATGCCAAATAGGGTAAAGTGTATAGTTATTGGCACTTTAAGGAAATTGTTACATAGTATCAATGATTAAATCATCCAGTCAGAATATAAAACTACTATCAAAACTTTTACTGATTAAAAATATTAATACTTATCTATATAACTATATAAGTAATTATATTGAGCATAGGAATACCTACTTAATACTTATGTTTGATAAATTAAATATATTCCATTGAAAAAAAAAAAAAAAAATTAAACATAGTTACCATGGTATTGGCACCATAATTGTATCATTGACACTTGTAATTATAGTTATTAGTAAATATAAATGTATATATTCAAATGTGCCTAGGTAACTATAATTAAATAATATAATATAATATAGTATAAATAAACAATTACTTATTGATGTATTCTTAAATATTTAAAACTAACCCTAGGTATTACTCAAAATTATTTTTAAAATAAAATAATTATTTGGGTAGTTTTTAAAACAAATATGTTTGCAGTATAAAATAATTTTTCTCTTCATATTAATATTAAATATAAAAAACATAAATAAATAACAAGTTTAAATTAAACAATCCACTGACTTTAATAAAAATAAAATGTTTAAACTTAACATTTAGGTACTCCAGTTAAAACATAATAAGTAAATACGTCATGATCATAAATATTTATAAAAGTAATTTAATAATTAACCATTAGTTGGTAGGTACCTACCTACATTTAAAATAATAAATATCTATGGTATTAAAAAAAAATTGACCTATAATAAGTACCTATAATAAATTCCAAATTAATCATATCACAATATCTATTAGGTACTTATAACGGGTTATACATCAACAACAAACCGTGATACTATCCATAGATATATAATAATATAATTTAAAAGTTTCAAGTAGGTACTCACTAATAATATTATACAATCACTGTGTTTATGTATTTTTTAGATTTTTTACTACCGGAATTAACTACTTACGTGGAATCTTGTTTTAAACTTTCAATTATTAGATATAAAAGTTGAACATTTTGTACATTTTTAATTACAAAATAATTATTAAATTTTAAATATTATAAATGTTGTCAAAATTCGAATTTTTATACTTATAAAAAAAATTGTGACTATGTATTTTTAATATTTTTCAACTGCTATTGTAACAATATATTAGGAGCCTCGCATAACATATTCATGCTTTTTTACCCAAAGAATACAATTTTTTTGATACCTATAGAAACAAAAAAAAAGAATATTGAAAACTGACAATGTCCTTAAACATTTAAAAAATAGTCAAAATATTTTCAAAATTATATGGTTTATAGAAAATGAAAATAAAAACATTCAGTAAAATGTTCATATATTTACAGTTATTCGTTGTGAATATCCAATGTTGTAAAAATTTGAATTTCAAACGCTCATAAAAATTTAATTTGACTTTCTTATCGACATTTTTTTTTTTTTGATAAAGGTAGATAACCTTATAAGGAGTCTTATATTACATTTTAAAATCTTAGCTTTAAAAAGAAAATTTTTTATGAATTCTTAACTCAAAATAATTTACTAATTTTCACGATTTTTCCATGTTTTGTCAATTTTTAGACTTTAAATGTTTATAAAACAAAAATGTGAATTATGTTTTTTAATGATATAATATCATTGTATAAGAAAACGATTCTGATCGGAGGTGGTATGTCAGTCTAGGTATAAGACATAATATTATATACTTATCTATGGTATTAAAAAAAAATTGTACCTATAATCAATTCCAAATTAATCATATATAAGAATCGTCTGTCGGACTGGATAAACTGGAGGCCGTGTCAGCCGATGATGACAGCGCAGACCGCCTACAAGGAGCGGTCAAAAATTATGTAACAATAGTAATTAAGCAATTGACAATAAATTAAATGATACCCGTAATAAAACAAAGATAAAAGTATTAAATAGCATAACAATATAATATACAATTAATTGTTAGTTTGAACATACAATGACCAGAGGTCCTCATATATAAATATATTATATAGAATAAGAACGTACAAAGTATAAGGTAATTTAATAGACAGATATTGAAGTAATGAACAAAAAGATAACAATGTGGTATATACAAGGTTATGATAAGAAATTATTATATAGGTAAAATGAAAAAAATTACAAAAAAAGTACAAAATATTAAATATAGGTCTGTTGCTCAACTGCTCAAGTAATAGCTAGGTAACATAATATCTCTAAACTATACCTTGACGAACAATTTATAAGCCGGACACCGTATACCCTAAGCACACAGGGTGGACAGTTTTCAGTAAGCATCAAATTTAACCCGCTGTCGGTGCACCACACCAACAGCACCACCTATGGCCAACTTTAAAAAGCCGGCTTCTGAAGTCCGCATGCCTGCGCCTGGTGCGTTTGGGCACCGCCGCTCCTTGTAGCCGGTCTGCTTTGTCGTCATCGGCTGACACGGCCTCCGGTTTATCGAGTCCGACCAACGACTCTTCAACGGCGTCGACGACTTCGATCGACCGTGGTGGCAATATCCTCAACACTGACACAGGCCTGAGAGCAGCAATCTGTGTGAGACAATCTTTATGTGTGACTAGCTGCATGCCAGGGTCGATATTCCGCTTAAACGTATGGACTTGCAGAGGAGTGGCCGTTAGGTACAAAATTTGACATTCCGCACAGACGTAATTTTCTTCAATAATTACACGTCTTGGTTTACTAGGAAATAAATGACACGAAAAAATCAAAATATCAAATGACAATGAATTTGAAATATGTTACGAATACTATTATAATAAATTTAACACGCAATCGATTTACGTGGCAACGAAATATAATAATATAACTCCAACACATGATTATTTTTTTTTCATATACGTTATAGGAACTTATATTATATTATCTATATAAATAAAAAGGTGCTCTGCTGTACAGTAGGTTACAAGAGGGTCACTGTATAATGGATGGTATTAAATTTGAATTCAATGATATAATACCATTGTACAAGAAAAACGATTCTGAGCGGAGATGGTATGTCAGTCTAAGTATAAGAAATATTATTATAAACATATCAATGGTAATAAAAAATATATGCACAGTCTTATCGTTGAACATAGACATACTTCTTATTCCTTAGACTATGGTAGATTGTATGGATAGGCCATAATATTTTGATTTTTGATTTTTCAGTTTCATATATCCCCGAATAATATTTTTAAATTACAAAATCGTTAATATTGATTTTATTATGTAATTTTTTTCATATTTGAACTTTAAATGACTGTAAAAATAAACTGTGATTGGGTATTTTTTAGAATGTTTGGTGAAAGAATTAACTTTACACATGGAATCTTTTTTAAATTTTCAATCCTTAGATATAAAATTTGAACATTTTATAAATTTTTAACTACAAAATAATTATTCAATTTTAAATTTTATAAATTTTTTCAAATTTCTATCTTTAAATGCTTATAAAAAAATTGTGCCTATGTCTTTTTAATATTTTTCATCCGATATTGTAACAATATATCAGGAGCCTTGTATTAAGTTTTTACACATTTTGGCTCAACAGATAAAATAAAATTAATATTCATAGAAAAAAAAAATAAATTAAAAACTGACGATGCCCGTAAACAGCTCAAAAAGCTTCAAAATATTTTGAACATTTTATCAAGTATAAGGATTGATAAAACAAACATTTATTGAAATTTTAATGTATCTGGAGTCATTTGTTTTTGAATTATATAAAAATAATAAAATCGTTACACGAGAAATCGAGTGAATAATAAATTTTGTAAAAATATGAATTTAAAATGCTCATAAAAATTTAATTGAACTTCCCGGTAGACAAACTTGTGATAAAGGTAGACAAACTTATAAAAAATCTTGTATTACATTTTCAAATCTTAGATTTAAAAATAAAATGCTTATGAATTTCTCACAAAAATTAATTTTGCAAAATGTTGTGTTTTTTCCGTATTTTGTCAATATTTGAACTTTAAATGCTTATAAAAAAAAATTATGACTAAGGATTTTTAATATTTTTCAAACATCTTGTAACAACACGATAGTAGCTTTGTATTAAATTTTCAAGCTTTTTTACCTCACAAATAAAGTTTTATTGACATTTATAGAAAAATTATCGAAAAAAGTTGGAAATTGAGTTAAACATTCAGTTTGATAAATTTGAATTTGTTAATTTGTTACTCAGTTTTGTCAACCATGATGTACCTAATATGATAAACATGTCTTAAAAATGTAAAATTATGAACAATAAGAAATTAATAGTATATTGTTATACCTAAGGCTATATTACGATTATCGACTGTAGTATTATTATTAAACGATAATTTTATATAGGTATGAATAACCTAACTAAACTTGAATTACTTAAATATATAGAATGTATAGGTTTAACGTTTCTACTCAAATTATTCAATGTTAAAAAAAGACGTTTGACATCCTTGTGCCGAGCTCTCTGTAATTGCCTGTAACGTGGTCGGGGATGACCTATTAAATATACGATATTCAGGGAAGAAATTAGTTCTTTTGAATATATTTTTACCGTAGCTCGGGAGCAAGAATGGTATTAGGATCTTAATATTACAAATAAATAACGATTGATCTAAATTATTACTAATACAAACAAATTATTTAATATTACTTACAATTTACGAACAAAGTTACCAAAAATGTAGGATTGTACGAACTTCAGGTGCACGTGATTTACTCACATGAAATCGCTTTCTCTTACATGGGGATATTGGCGAGAGCCTTACAATCATAATATATATATATATATATATATAAATATATATATATATATATATATATGTAGCACCTAAACCGGAGGGGCTTAATATATTATAGTCAGCGCATAATATGCCTATTGTGCATATTATGATGCTTATAAAATAAACATGAAAACATACAGCCTGTCTTATACGATATACCTATTATCTACGTGAAACGTATGCACGGAAAACAAATGCATAGTCAGAGTCATTGGTCAATAGAACGTGAAAACCGGGACGTGGAAAATATGACATACCTATGTTGTAAGACATATCAATTGTATAATATAAAAATATAAGTTTTGTTAATAATAAAACAGTAAAATGAATTTCCAATATGAGTATACTTAGGTGTGGCACATGTAACGCAATTAAATTATTTTTATAAAGTAATTAAAATCCTAATAAAATTAGTAGGTATTAGTGGTATTACACAATAATAATTACACCCCAATCATCTAGAAACATTATGAAATAACAATTAATATGTGCAATACAATTCATCTGACGCAATAACAATTGCATCTCGATTATCCATGAACAATATAATACAATAACCGTCCAATTACAAACACATTCAAATATTATATTTAAGAACATACAAGACAATTCAGATAGGTATTGCGTAACAAACTGGGGATGACAAACTTCTGTACTCTCTATATAATTACCAACACCTACACAGAGAAGCAAGGGCTCTCGTTTGCGGCTCTGGGCATGCTCTTTTCATATCCTCTACGGATGCTCTTCGGATCACTTGGATTATTCGGATGGACTGATTCTCAGATCAATAATTGTTTCAAGGCACCACGATATTTTGAAGCAGTATGATACGGCCAGGAGGCTGTATTCTATAAAGACAAAGCACAACGTCCTACGTCATCGTTAAGCGATTTCGACACACTTCCATACATTAAAATACAACTCTTTTATTATTTAAAAGTTAAATTAATTCATTTCTATACTAAAAATCATACTATATTGCGTTAATGTAAACATCAGGTATGAACTTATATTGGTATACTCATCTTAATCTTTATAATCTAAAAAAACTCAGGCTATTTTCATTATTGCCTACGATTTTCTCCGATATTCTTTATATAATTTTATCCAATCATAATGTTTTAATATACATTTTTAACAAACTAAAGAAGGTATAAGATTACTAACCAATATAAAATATGTTGAATACAACATAATTAATATTTAAGATGGTAACCATACTTACACGATATAATATATATTAAATTGGATAGGTATTGTAGACTAAAAATCATATGATAATAACGTGCATCGACTCACACATAATGATTTTAATATTATATACACATCGCTTATAGCTAGTCGAGGTAAGTGACACACTTTTTACACATATACATTATACAATAATAATACAGTTGTAGTGGAATAGAAACAAACTTATGAACTAATTAACAACTTATAGTTTTTCCATAATACTTATTAACCCCCTCCCCCATGCAATCCCCGTTCTTTTTTTTCTAATTCATTACACAATGTAAGGCTGTGACGATCAGAGTTGGATGACCATTTGACCATAGTATTTATACACATTAGGCTGTAGTGATACAAATGTTGCGTGTGAGTGCGACAGCCGACCTTGTCCAGTGGGTCCAATCGACGACAATACCTGCCGGTGCGACAAACGCACACACGCTCCCCTCTTTCGTCTCCATGAACTGGGCCAAACTGGGCCGACTAATTACGTGTATAGGGATATAAAACAATTGAACATTTCCAGAGGAAAATTTCAGAAACTGTCATACATTATACACAATAATTTAGGTACTTATTATGTAGGCAATTATTTAATACAACTTATAGTAACTCGAAAATAATTAGCAAAAGTCATAATTTGTGCATAACTTGTTATTAAATAACAATGTACATTTTATAATATAAATATGATTATAATTCGCAAAAGTAAATATAATAAGTTGTAGTATTGAAATACATTATTTCATCCGCATGTAGCTAAATTGCCTATCTTGAACGCCGTGATACCATACGTTTTTAGAAATAAATTTCCTACAGTTTAAAAAATGTACATTACCTACAATGGTCAGAATGAAACGTAACTATATTAATAATTGCTTTTTATAGATGACTGTAGTTCAGAAGTTAAGTAAGGTATATATAAATGTTAGATCATATATTCATACTATTCATACCATAAACAAGTGATTGATTGTGGTTAGTTGCAGTTTTATTGAACCGTTGAGTATTACTTTTTGTAAGAAATTTAGATATATATTGACAATCCTTGTTTGATGTTATAATATTATGATTACAGTAACGGTTTAAACCATGGGGCTTACTATACAATATCACCATTGGCCACTGAAGTATTACATAACGATTACATTTTCTCTGAAACCATAAAATCATAAATGGACGAATATTTATTATATTATTTAATCTGCTATTAGACTATTTTTTTTATGTATTTTATAATGTAATAAATATGTCAAAAATTTGATCAATTCGATTTAATTAGGTTTCTGTATAATTTCAGATTACAAGAATTATGTAGAAATATGGTTTTCGGTATCGATGCCAAAAATAGTTCTGTTTTTATTTGGTAATGGCGGAAACATCATCATGGTTCAGGCGAGTCAACATAAAATTATAACCAAAATAATATGTAAAACCTGTGTGAGATTTATGATTTAACTCAAATCCCGTAAAATCTTAAAACCGTTTAAAGTTAAACAGTCTCATGAGTAACTTGTGTAATCCTGTTCTTCAATAATTTAGGTACTTATAGGCAATTATTTAATACAACTTGAAAT